CCTTTACCAGCTTCATTGCTCTTCTCTGCATATATTCAAGCAACTCAGTATCTTGTAGCGATGGGCCCCAAACTGAACACAGTAGTCAAGGTGTGGTCTCACCAGTGGATGAACAACAGGACAATCTCTTACCCAGTCCTGCTGGCCACACTCCTGCTGATGCAGGCCAGGATGCTGTCAGCCATCCTGACCACCTGGCCACTGCTGGCTTACATTCAGCTGCCTGCTGACCAGCACCCCCAGGTCCTTTTCTGCCGGACAGCTTTCCAGCCACTTTTTCCCAAGCCTACATTGCTGCATGGGGTTCTCATGACCCAAGTGACAGCAACTGCTCCTAGCAGGCTCATACATATCCTTGGCATCCGCTTACTTTGCCTATGCCCAAAGACAGTCTTCAGTGGTGATTTCTCTAGTAGAAAACCCACTGGGAGTTTGTGGCTATACCAGGTACTGCGTTGTTCTAGCACTGGTGCAGATATACCAGCTGAGGTAAGAGGAGAGCAAAAATATCTAAACACAGCAAAGGGACTCCTATTGCTACCTTATTCCATGTGTTCCCGACACAACACTACTGTAGGCTCCCAAAGGATGGAACATGTAAGGACAAAAGTCAATCAGTAAAGAGCAAGTACAACCCCAGGTACACTCCTCTGGATGAGCACAGAAGTTTCTATACTCTTGCCTAATGGCTGACATGTCCACACCAACAAACCTTTGGTGACCCAGAACTCAGCTGCTTTCCGTGGGGATTATGCAGCTTAAGAAGGGGAACGATCCTGTGGTACACATGAAATTCAAACTCTGACAACACACCAAAAGGAATGAACGTATAGCTGCAGTTACTTGTTAAAATTTGTGATGGAATGAAAGGTTTAAAATTATTTTCCCTGTTATTAAATTATTTTTTGTTATTTTCAATAACTACACTGTTCCACTGAAAACCAAATCCCATCAATAAAAAATGCAGTTGTTAAGAACTTTACTATTGAACTTATGGTAAATTATTTGAATTGTTGGCAGTAGTCTCTGTATTTGTCTTTATCTTCATTTTCCTAAAAGTGCAGTTCTTTTACATCCAAACATATATTGCTTATGGGATGCATTAAGTATGATAGGAAGTAATTAGAAAACTGCTTAAAATCTTAGACCATCAGTTTCATGAAAATAGAGCTGACTTCAGTTCCTTGCTTGAAAGAGTTTTTGACATATAATGCAGTTTGTTCAATGTCAGTTTTCTAATGGGAAAACTAAATAATTTTAAACCATATTTTGATTTCTTCATCTCAACTGAAACATCATTTCAAACTAATTTATTAAACGTTGAATGTATGCATCTCCATGTCAGCACAGTTACTAATTTAAATTGGAATTCAAACCTCCATTCCTTCTAAGAGCCAAGTCTGCAGGAAAACATCTGCCTGGAGATCTGTGAATTTTCCTCAGCATCGTGGGAAGTAATTTCTGGCCAGAGAATGCAGCCTGTACAGCAGAATGGGCACATCGAGCCCCTCTAAAATTCCCATGTGGTAGTGACCCAAAATGGAAAATGCTGAGAGATAAATTTACAGGAAAATAAAGTATGATTGTTTAAAAAAAAAAAAGAAAAGAAAATATATCCAATTTTATGGATAGATGTGTCTGTTTGTATCCATCTCAACTGAGTGGGGAAAAATTAAACTTTAAAAGTAAAAAAAAAAATTATCCTATTTAGGATGAAAGCAAAAAAAAACAAACAACTTTGGAAACAACAACTTTTTTTAGGAAAAAAATCCTCCTATTTAGGAAAAAAAAAAAGCCTCCTATTTTCACTTAGGACTACCTGCCACCTTCCATCAACTTAGTTAGTTCTATCACAAAATTTGCTTCACAATTTTAGCTGCTCTTGAACATCTTCAGAGACTTCGGCCTGCTCCCAACTCAAAGGTGTAAGCAGAATTTAGTAGTTCCACTACAGCACCGTGTTTCTACTATAGTAGAAATAGCAGTTTCTCAAAGCAATACGTAAGATTTGATAGAGCAGTGCTGGCAGTTTACAGTACGGAGTAAAGCAGAAATACAGGCATGCACGGTAAGGCTTAGAAATGAAACTAATGCTGATTTCTTTGGAGGAAAGCTCAAACATGTTATAAACAGTTTTAAAGACCTATTTATTTCCTTCAGCATGTATTAAGCTGCAGTGATCCTGACCAGATGACCACTGTGCAGTGAGGAGCTGGCGATTCGCACAGCAGTTCCCCTGTGCTGCAGTCTGGCCTTCAGGCCTGTGCTGTGCTGCACGTATGCCTTGGCCGCGGGACAAGCTTAGCCAGCTCACTGCAACAGGCAGCTCCCACTGGTACCAGCAATTACACCACCTGTGTGGCCTTGCCTTTATCTAGAAGTGCAGCAAGGCACTCTCATGCGAACATCCTTCCTGCTTGACAGTAGAAATGATTAATTGAGCTGTTTACATGTAAGAAAAGCCCATAATAGCTCAAATGACCAAAATGAGCTAACTTTTTCTGAGACAGGAGCCGCGCAGCACGTTGATCATAGGGAAGATAAACTAGTGAAATTTTTGGAATGCGGAAAAGCACACTACCACTTTTACAGACAGAATTAGGAACAGGGACAAAAGTAGTGATTTTTTTTTTTTTTTAACATTCAGTAATATGCATTACTCTTTATTTAAAACTACCTCTACGTGTTTCAGAAAACACCAAGCCTTACAAAAGCTAATGCAAAACTGTTTTTAAAAGGGCTGCGAATACTTTGTTCACAGGTTATGTATATTTAATTGTGAATATGTATATTTAATTTTAGTGGTTATGCTAATGATACAGGAATTGTAGGAATGAAGCATGCAGTAGAAACAACAGTGGAGCCTAAGGTAAAACCCAGTATTCTGGAAAACAAACTTTACAAACAAATCAACTGACTAGACAACCTAGACAATGACATTGTACAAATGCTTATTAAAAACAATGAGCAATCATTCTGTAGTCATTATTTATTACATGAAGCGAGATTTTTAAAAATAGTCGTTCTGGGGAGAAACTGTGATTTGCAGTAAGAACTGATAAAAGCATCGTGACTTTGTATTGAGATCTGTGGAAATCTATCATCAGCTTAAAATGAAGAATTATCACGACTGGAGACTTGCTTCAGATTTACTACAGCACATTATTATTCATATTCCTCTGTTTGGGGCAGGAGAGGAAGGATCAGAAATTCCTTCCCCGTTCCGCTGTGCTCCCAAAACTCTGTGGACACAGGGAAATCTGAGCTTTGGTACAATCTGAATACAGCCTTTATTTTGCTTCAAGTGACACCAGCAAGTGGGGAAGTAGCCACTTTATGCCATCTGGAAAGAGGTGATTTCAGTGAGAAGAAGGCCACCTCAGACCCACTGGTATATTTAGGAAATCCTTTTATCATGTAACATAAAACACAACTATCCTTCCCTTTTGCTTCCACCCTCTTCCCAATAAGATTTATTCTACCTAAACTTCACTCTTAAAATACCTGATATTTCTCTCAAAACCTAAGCTTTTTTTTCCAGTAAGAAAGCCATCCAGATAAAAGACAGCAGGTTGCCGCCTTCTCTGCTCACATTTCACCACTCTTGACATGCCAACTCTGATATACTGTTATACATCAGCATAAAGCTTTTTCAGAAACCTTTCATTCTGATGTGTTATGGTTTACATAACCAAAATGATCTACTTAATTCAGGTATTCTGCCTGAGATAAGAATCAGCCCTAGAATCAGCATAAGCTGCTTTTGTGCTTGGAATCAATTAGTGACCTGACTATTAATTTTGTTAACACTGCAGAACTTACGAATTCTGAAAGTCTGTTAGGCCCCAGGCATTAGAACTGTATATATCAGAGTATTCTGCTCACAACTTTTATCAAGGTGATAGTGGCATCACCTCAGAAAATACTTTAAAATAGATATTTAAATAAAGAAAATGTTGCACCTTTTATTTATACCATTAAGAATTAGTACTTATATCTAGCCTACATAGTTGACGTTTGGCTTAGATTCGTGGCTGTGTTAAAGCAGTACCAGAGGGAAGAAGAAATATTACAGGAATGATGAAAGTTGACACAGTGAACCCTACATCAAGTCTTCACAACTGAGAGCCGCAAAACGCAACCCAGTACTTCATAATAAGTACTTCATAATAAGATGACACTGCAATGTATCACAAAGTAAAACGATGACAACAGCTTGTCAGGTTTTCACTTCTTCAGTGAAGAACAGGAACGAACTGGACATGAGGTGGTGCACTCAGGTGATCTAACACCACCCGCCCTAGCTGGCTTAGTCTCTCCCTCAGCTGAGGAATCAGAGCATGCAGTAAGATCCTGTGTCAGCACAGTTCCGCTGCCAGACATGAGATTCTACCTTTTAATGCATATGCCAGCAGTTCAAATCAAATGTTATTGCTCAATTTACTGCATAGCATCAAAAATAAAAATCAGCTGATCTCTACAAACTTCAGTTTATCCATTTATGAAATGTACAACAATGGTAACTTACCTAAGTGCTGAGAAAACTAATGTGCTTTTTGATACTCTAATAAAGAATCTAATGTAGAACAGGGAACAGATTCAATGATCAAATGCAAGAACTTGGCTGTATTTAACTGCTTTAATTTAAAACAGTTTTTACAGGAGGACTGAAACCTCAATCCTGTTCCTACATTCATCACTACGGTACTATATTTATGTATTGTCAATTCCTTGTTGTCTAGGCATCAACCATAGTACATTTTACTGTTTTAATTCTATTACTTTAACACACAATTAATTCCATGAAATATTAAGCCAAGTAACTAACTGGCATTCAAATATTTTCAAAAGGATTTGAAGATCCTTCTTAATTACCATTTGCATAGACTCATTGCTGCTAATTACTGTTGCCTGGATAGAATGTGAGACCTTCTTTGAAATCTGTAAATACAAGGATTAAAAAGATTCTGAAAATCATTTTTCATTCAGGCAGTACTTACCTGTGCAAACTGATCTGAACTTCCCATGTGTCCGCTAAAAGTACTTAAATGATCCAAGCTTTTCTGACTGGACTCCCAAAACTTTAGAAGAATAAGAATACAACTTTTAAAATTCCTATTTAAAGAAAAAAAACTTTATTGCTTTCTCTCCTTTTCTCCATTCATATATGGCATATAAAATCAACTGTCCAAAAGAAACATTGCAAAAGCACACAAAGAAAACAGAAATTTTACTTCTGCAGGGGAGCAGGGAGAAAAACCACAGTCCTGTTCAATTTTAGGCATTTGAAAACCTGTAATATAACTCTTCATTCTTTTTACTTCTGCACTTCTCTCCTTTATGATCTAGTACTCTGCTGAAAAAAAAACTAATGATCTCTGAATTCCAACCTGCCACCAGCTGTCTTTGGCAGAAGTGATATAAAAGTGCACTTTCCCTGCATTGTGCTTGTAGGAAAAGGCTGAAAAGATGTGGGTGTGATAACCCAGCTTACAGTGCACAGTGTGCTGAGTGATGCTTCTCATCTTCGAGAAGGAAGGAGGACATAAGTAATAGCAAAGGGCTACAAGCCAAAGTAGAAAGGGGATATTGAACAGCCAAAATAAACTACAAAATTCATCTTGCCGTTAAGAGGTAAACTGCTGCCAATTAGGCCATTTAATTGAATAAATGTTTTCTACCACCATAATTAAGGTCAAAGTAATCCCTTTTCATCCAGCTCATTTTCTTCACATAACACTACATTTAGTAACAACTACTGCTCATAGTCTTTGAAGAGGATTCACATATTGTCTGTTCTCATTGACCGGAAATAGTTGCCCAGTGATACAAAACCTCTGAAGGAGGGGCACTCATTAGATAAAGAAAAAGCAGATATACATGCAAATTCTATAAACTTCTATGCTTGAGAAATACCTATCAAGGAGCAATTGCTCCTCTGATCCTAAAGAGTTAATCTAAGAAGGGTAAGTAAATCCAAGTTTTGTAACTGTGTCAACTCCTTTTCAATTTTTCAGACTAGTAGCTTTATCATTAAACACCTGGAAACTCAATAACTTCTGTAGTACTAGGAGCACTGATGTACACTGTCTGATTGTAGGCACAGGTATTGACAGTCCAAGTTGATAGTATTATACCTCATCCCAGCCTGAGTACAGTAGTAACAAATCAAAGATGTGTTTTTTTTTTTTCACCACTTACCACTGTGAGTAGGTTGCAAAGTATCTTCTGATTTCTATAGTAGTATATAATAAAATTGATTTTAGGAATTTTTTAGATTAACTGACAAACTCTGAGTTTAATTCCATATTTATTATTGACTACCCAAAAATGAAAGATTATTTTCTAGAGGCTGGATATCAAGTATATCAACCTTTCCTCTTTCCTTTTCCTTTAAGATTTGTTTTTACCGTATTGGCTTATTTTTAATGCAAATATAATATAATGACTAAGTTGTTTTTTCTTTAATTGTGTAAGAATGAACAGCAATAATCATTAGAAATTAAAACAGTACTCTCCTATTTGAGAGAATATACTCAAAAATAAATACATGCAATATAATTTATCTCACGGGATGATCATAAGTAGGTGCAAAACACCCATCTTGATACCAAGGGATATTACTGAGAGAGAACAAGGAACATATTAGAGTATTTAAACAGACAGCAGAATAAACTGTTGTTTAAGTATCAAATTGTAGCACAGAACAAAAAATCCTAATCGTTATCTACAGCTTTGCTCTACATTCTTTTTACAAATAACCATCTTGTCCTTTTTCTTTGATGTGAACTCCTAACATCCAGAAAACAAAAAATCTTTAGTATATGCAATCCAGTCATTAGCCAGCAACTTTCACCTAAAAAGGAAGCACCCTGATAAACTGAAAATAAATGCCGTCTGACTTGCTTTTCTTGAACTCTTAGTGAGCAATTTTTATTAAATGCATTCCTCTGTTAATGTAAAACCTTTCTTAGCTCTACTTTAACTATTCTGCCTTTTGTTCATTCTTTACAGTTCTGCGTTACAGCAATTTAACTTCAAGAATCAATACACCTGATTATTCAATGCTCTACAACTCTCCTAATTTAGTATTTAAAGCTATAAGTGCATTGATATTTGAATCATTGCAACATACATTGATAGGAACAAAAATAAGCTTTTCCACTGATATTTAGTTATTTTGTAAATCTGTTGATTTTGTGCGACTCTCCTACCGGACAACAATGGCAGAAGGAAGAAGTCCCATCAGTCCAAGGATTCTCTTCCTAAAGAGAAGACAAAGATGACTCACATCACATCTGGAGCTAAATTAGTTCTTTAAACTGGAGAAGCTTAAAATAAAAGCTTCTTGATCACATTTAGAAGTGTGCTGTCCTGCACATTCAGCTATCTTTTGGAATGCGCAACCTTACATAATCAAATATGGGGAAAAACAAACAAACAGGAGAACAGGGCAATGAGTGACTCAGATTGGTATCTTCAGGACAGACAATGTATTTTCACAATTCCAAAGTATATTCATCAGATTACTGAACCGCACTCATTAACAGCAGTTAATATCAATATACACATAAACTAATATATATATAGCTGAACACATCAGTATTAAGCGTGACAACTGTATCATTTTCAAACGGGATACATTTAACACTGGTACAAGCAAAGGAATGAGTTACCTTGGCACACAAAAAGTACATGATTGCAAACTGTTTTTCCATTTTCTCTTCCCAGCAAAGGATCTAGGAGACCACATGAGACACCCAGCTATGCTACGCAGTTATGTACGATGAGGTTTGGTATCACCCTGAGGCATCGCAGCATCTAATGCTAGTCTGCAGGAGATGCAGCAGGATTGTTACAAATCCTTAGAAATTTAGGCCAAGACAGTGATGCCTCAGAGTGCTTGTAATTCACAGCCCACAGCCCTCTCTTAAAAGCATGATCCAACCACCAGCCTGTTTAAGAAATGTAGCAGGACTTGCTGTATTCTGTTAAATCATAGCTAGGGTAACAGAAGGAAGCAAGAAAACAAACACCTCATAGAGCAACCTGTTGTTGCTCTGTGTTCCTGTTAAACCAAAAAGACTCAAATCAGTGTGTGGCAGAAAAGCGATCCTACCCAACAAGAGACAGGGCTACTGAAAACAAAGATGAGTGCTCCGTTCCTGTTAAAGCTGTTGCTACTGTGAAGAAAAGAACTCAGTCTGTAGGGACAGAAATGATGTGTGAGGTTTACCCCAAGGAATACGGCATTCAGCAAGGAGTGGCATCCTCATCTCTAATTCATGCTCCCAAGACAACTTAAACTCATGCAGTCACCCTTTAAGAGAAGTTGCTTGGAGAGATGATTTTTAATATTCTTGGACAGAATCAAACTGAATCTTCCCATTCACATCAGTAATCTAAAAGGTTGTTAAATAAAAGGTTTTTCAGTTCCCCCAACGTTCAGGTGCATCCTAAAAGCAATCAGGTACACCAAACTAAGAATCTCTGCGTACGATTGAGTGCGTGGCATGGCCTGCAAATACTGACAGAGCAGAGCCACTTGGACACAACTGGGAGCCTGTAATGGGCTGGATGGTAAATAGGTGCTACACTGCTCAAGCTGCTGCACACAGTGCACAGAAGTAAAATCCTTACACTGCAGAGATGCATATTAAAATCAAGTCTTCTGATTTTAAGCATCTTCTGGATTAGGCAGGAGCTGTGGGAGATTTCTTATATCACGTTTTTGGACTTTGGCACCTGAATTCTTCCTACATCTCACTTTGGGTATGCAAGTCTTTTCTTGGTTTTTGCCAATAAACAGGCTTTCTTTCCGTCTTTATCTGGTATTTTAGATCCTTTAATGTTTTGACTCCCTTTTATTTTTAATGAGATCTTTATCTCTCTAACATGTAGTTAACCATTTATCCCATGTGTAGTTGCTTTGCTGTATTCACTACTGCTTATGTAATTAAATAATTTAGTAAGGGACCTATTGCAGCTGTACAGAGAACCCCAGCTCCTTTCCTCAAAGGGAGTTAAGATTCCTCGACAAACCCACAGCCAAGCCACATGCAGCTCACCTTTGCTAACTTTTGAGACCAAGCTGCGAGTCTTTATGGCATCTCATACCTAAACAAGGTGTTCAAGAGCAACTTTTGTCCAACACTATTACCCAAAGGCTTCTGGATTTGTTTTCCAGCAGCAATGCTGAGCATTTTTCCAATTCAAGTCTGCGTGCTGGAGCTACCTCACTAAAGCCCCCAAAAGTCTACCGAGCACAAAGAATAAACTGAAACAAAACCAACCCAACTGGACTCTGAGGTTTCATTACTCCTTAGCCACAGCAAAGTGACTCAGACATCACTGGCTAAGATCTTCAAAAGCTATGCCATTCAATACTTTTCTTTTTACAAAGATAGTCTGAGATACCCTTTAACTTTTTTTTTTTTTCTTTTTCTTAAGAAAAGGCATTAATAGTTTCTTAGAACATTTAGTTCTTAGGAACAGTAAGTTTTAAAAATAAAGTACAAATACTATTTACCTAATCTAATTTCTCCAATGTATTTTATTTTCCCTTTGCTGCATGTATCTTGGCAAAAAAACAACAGCTGGACAGCTCACTAGCTACCTTTAAAGAAACAGAAGGGAAAACAGCCAGAAAGCCATTACACATTTCTCAAGGAATATGACTGCTTTCCCTTGGGATGTGTGCCAAGAGAGGCTGTAAAAATGGGGCTCAGCTCCAGATTTCCAGTATGCAGGTATTAGTTTTTAGGTTCACTGCCTGCCACTCCCTGTTCCCTGAGCCTGGATTGCTTTTGCTTCATTTTGTTTACACTGCTGTTTATTTCTGAATGCCTTGAATCAGGATAATTTTGTATAATTTACCTGAAGCACAGTCAAATACAATTTGAAACACTATTTCCTTGTCAATTTGTGTTTAACTGGGTTGCACACAGTGTTTGTACAAGGAATTGCTTACAGAAACATCAGATCACCAACTTACAAAGCATAAGGAACTGCTACCTCACCATACAGAGGTCACGATGCTTTGTCTGAATGAGGACTACCAAGACTTGCCCAAGGAGTTGTAAAATACTACAGACAGAAGGGGAAGGACAATCCCTGAAGTTTTCCTTAGAAAGACCCAGGCAAACTGCAGGGATTGGTGGTGGTAGTGTTTTAATGTAGCGTTCATCTGGCCCTACAACAGGAAAAAACTTTTTTGTGTGTGTTATTTATAATCAAGCAGTGGTGGAGCTGTGTGTTATCTAAGCTCTTATATAACTATCATATCCTGATGGTAACCCAGTGAAATATTAGAAAATTGAGTTTTTTCTTGTTTAGTTAAATATGTCAGGAGTCAAATACTGCACCAAAACCCAAGTTTGATGAAACAACTATAGCTTAAAGATAAAAGAATGACCACACTGGGCAATACCAAGGTTCAACTAGGCCCAGTATCCTGCTTCGAACAGTGATCAAAAATGAATGTGTAAAAAATTAGGACAAGGTGAACATACAGTCAAATTTGTCCTCAATCTGTCAGGTTCCAGAGCCTCGTGTCTCAGGGATTTCCTGCTACAAAGGTGATTAATTTTACATAAGGGATTCTTTCCTATGAACTTCTCCTAACACATCTTGAGCCCAGCCCGAGCATGCCACGCTCTGAAATTACTCGATACCCAGAAACTTCCCTACCTCCATATGCCCGCAGCATACCACTGCCATAGTTAACATATCTGAAGTCTTTATCTTTAATCTAATGAAATGCTTCAGTGTCTTTCTACAACCACACAGAGCATACAAAAGAAAAAAAAAACAACACATTGTCTAAACCTACAGTATTTTTGGACGCTTGAAGTCCTGAGTTTCCAAGAGAAACAAGGACAGCTATGAACGTGGAGAACAGCACGTGTCACAAGCATTAGCAGACAGTAGATGCTTACAGTGACAGTAAGCACTGCTCACAGAAAGAGCAAGTTCTGAAGAAAGGTACTAATTAAAGAGATTTCTAAAACTGGTGGGAATAGTATAAAATGTCAGGCTCCCTACCCAACCAGTCATCCACCCTATCAAAACTCTCTTCTTTCACTGTTTTTAATTGTTTTGAAATGAAGGATAATGGGAAAAACCTCAACTCTTCTGCTCCAAGACACCCCAGTTGGCAAAGCCACAAGTACTTCATTCCTGTACACTCAGAATTCTGAAAAAATAGCTGGTTGCATCCGACAATGTTGTTTGAAGCATCAGTATGAATGTTAATGTGTGAACTTTTAAAAGGTTCATTGGACATCGCAGTTGTGGAAAGAAAGGGGTTCTCATTTCTACTTTTTAATTGTTCCTGCAGAGGACAATCTCATCATCCTAGCTGCAGTTTTTCAAGGAAGTTCCACAACCCCCTGAACATCACCCTGCTTTTATTTCCTTTTCTGTGGGTAATCTAATCTGAAAGGAAAAACAAACTACTGCTCTCTTTGGTGACGGTCACAATACTTTGAGTTTTACTTCTGTCCAAAACCTCTGCTCATCTCCCTGGCACTTTGTCAGCTCATACTTGCCATGCCTAAAATAGAATCTGTAACCTACCAAAACCATTTGCAACAATTCAAAACCCTTTTACCTTATCCCACCACCATTCAAGTTCATGGTACAAGCCTCTTTTACTTTGCTTCTTCCTTAGCTGTCGCTTCCTAAGTGATGCTGATTGTTTTTAATGAATAACTTCTCAGACTCATCTCCTCACATTTAACATATACGCATGTTTTCCCCTGCTATATCAATTACCATCTTTTTTTATTTATTTGGCTTTAGGAAGTTGAAAGGCACTGTAAGTGCAAAGGATGAGTTTTAGAGGGGATGAGTTCAGACAAAACGCCTGGGAGTAATTCCAGATGCGTTTGGTTGTTTGTGATCACGGCATCTTTGCCTCTAGACTTAACAGCCCTCAGTATCCTCCTCCAGCCCGTAACACATGAAATACAGCAGAAGACAAACACAGCTCTGTGCCTTTCACAATTCCTTCTCCTGATGTGAAAGTCTTAGGTTTTAGAGGAACCTTTACATTTCTTTGACTTTTTTTTTTTAATTAGAGGACTGTTATAAATTGAGAAAAAAAGCATCGTAGCTACTGCAAATGCATAGCAGCTATGCAACGGACTTCAGGCTTTCTTCAGAGAAGGTTGTATAACTCAAAATGTAATAGTTTCCCCATGAAAGTGCGGTGATGGCTTAGTTTAGGCCGAGTAAATGCCCCAAAGCCCCGGACTTACTATTCCACGCTCCCGGCGAGCCTGCCGCCCGCTGCCCCGCCAGGCTGTCAGGGCACGGCGCTGCCACCAACGGGAGCAGCAGCCCCATCCCGCCGGCCGTTACCCCGTGAGGCGGCGGCACTCGATTAAAGGCACAAACAACTTTCTGCTACCCCTGCGGCTCCCACCCTGACGAGAACTAACACCTAAGGGGACCACCGCGAGCAGCAGCCGCCGGGGGGCTGCGGGCAGAGCCCCCGAGGACCCCCAGACCCCCGTCTCCAGCCCCCACGGGTCCCTCCTGCCCGGGGCTCCCCTCAGGGCAGGCGGGAGGGGGGGGGCGGGGCGCTGAGGGGCGCTAACGGCCGCGCGCGCGCGCTCCCCAACCGCCGGCCGAGCCCTTCCCGCGCGAGCCCGCCCCCGCGTGACTCACGCCCTGGCCGCGCGCAGCGCCAGCCCCGCCCCCGCGGCGAAGACACACACACACCCAGCGGGCGGGGCGCTTTTAACCCCTCCCCGCGCCCCTTTTCCACCAATAGCAAAGCGTCGGCAGGGTCAGCTGATCGGCGGTGCTTTATGTAAAGGAGGGCGGGGCGGGGCTGCAGGAGGTCACGTGCCCCGCCCTGTCGGGCGCCGTGCGCAGAGCCCGGCCGGGCGCCGCCACAGCCACACCCCCTCGGCGCGGCCGGGCAGCCCATGGCGTCCTCCGCTCCGCACGGCTCCTCCGGGGCGCTGCCGCCGGAGCCGGGAGGCAGCGGGCGGGCGGCCGGGCAGGAGGAGAAGGAGAAGGGCGAGGCGGCGCCGGCCCGGCTGAAGGAAGCGGCGGGCGCCTCGCTGGCGTCGCTGTGCCTCGGCCCGCCGGGCGGCCGGCTGCTGGAGTGCCTGCTGCTCAACTACCGCCTGCGCCTGGGGCTGGCCCGCGGCCGTGCCGCCGCCGCCGCGGAGGGCTCGGGGGCTGCCGAGGGGCCGCTGCGCTGCTGCGGCTGCCGCCGCTTCCTGGGCGAGCCGGTGACGGTGCCGTGCGGGCACACCTACTGCCGCCGCTGCCTGCGCAGGGAGCTGCGGGCGCGCTGCCGCCGCTGCCGGGCTCGGCTGGTGCCGGGGGCCCCGGCGCGGCCCAGCGTGGTGCTGAGCCAGCTGGCCGAGAAGTGGTTCCCGGCGGAGTGCGAGCGGGCCCGGGCCGGCAGCCGGCTGGAGGAGCTGCTGGCGCAGGGCCGCTTCCGAGAGGCGCTGGGCGCCGCCGGGCAGGCGCTGCGGGCAGGTGAGGCCGGGGCACGGCTCGGGGCGGCGGACGGAGCCCCCCCGGGGCTCGGCGAGGCGTGCCGGGGGCCGGTTGCATAACGGGCGGGCGCGGAGGGGCCGCGTTGTGTAACGGGGCTGACATCACGCGGGCGCGGCTCGGCACCACCTGCGGCAGCGGGGAGCGGCGGCACCGGGACGCTGGGGTTGGGGGGGGGGTGGTGGTGGTGGTGGTGGTGCCCCGGTCGGCTGCGGGGTGGGGATGGGGCGAGGAAGCTTGCGTAAGGTTAATCCTTCCGATCCGGCTCTCGGTCTAGCTCCTGAATAAGCTGTTTTGGCACGGTGGGGGGACATCTCCCGGCCCCTCTGCCTTTGGGGAGCTTCCTCTGTGCGTTCAGCCGTGGTCTTCAGTGCTGTGTTGGTGGCCAGAGCGTTGGCGAAGCGTAGGGATGTGGCCAAGCAGAGCCCGAACTGTTGTGAATATCAGAACTGTCAGGAGGACTTCTGTTTGCTCTGTGTGTTCTGAAGTACAGCACTGGCTTGTGCGGTTCATAAAGAAATTGAGCTCAGAATACAAACCAAGGACTCCAGTATTAATCACAAATGCTTATAGTGATCCCTCTTCAGTTCAAGACCCATTTTTGAAAAAATAAAAGATAACATTAATAACTAACACTAATTCTCCAGGCTTTAGTTAATCTTCTGTGCGTTTAGCGACACCATAGGACTTTGTATAGCTACGCTGAAAGAATTTTGATTCCTTTTTTTATTGTGAAGCTACATCTTAAAGTTTGGTTTTCAGAATGGTATTAGAATCTGAGGATAGTTATGAGCTGTGATGCTTCTCCGTAACTATTATCCAAATTCAGTGTGTGTACGAGAAGCTGCATGTAAGATCTTTTATGTAACTATTTCCTGTCCTTCCAGTCCTGAGAACGAGCGACATTCCAAGTATATCCGAAGCATTCTGGTAATGTTAGTAAAGAGCTTCATGAATCAGAGGGCAGAGACACATGAAATGTGAATTTAGAGAGCTGACTCGCAGCTACAGATTGAAGGTGCTTTCAGGCCAGTAGAGAAGTGGTTAATAGCTGCCGGTACAGTTTCTAGTTCTCTCCAGAATGAGAGATTTTGCAAACACTTAAAGAGGTGAAGAAGACACAGTGTAAGAAATGCACTCTTAGTCAAAATCGTTATGGCTCTGTTTTAGCTTCCTCACTGCTAGTTCATCTCTCTTTCTTTTCTCACTAGTCCAGATACAGAGTTAAAAATTGTGATAAACATAGACCTAATGCCCTAAAAAAGCGTTTGACACTAAAGCTTTACTCAAACAGCATTTCTTTATGACTTTCTTACACTTCTTGAAAAATGTAAAATAAATGACTGCTGTTTGTCACGGTGTAGAAGTTACTTTTGAAAGACAGGAGGAATGTTAACATTCACATGGATAATACGTGCCTCGCAGGGGTTGGAATGAAATAGCTTATTTAAAGGAAGTCTGTTGAATTAAAATCCAAGTACAGCATGTCATTAATCCCGAAACATGAGGCTGATAGACATGGTTGGGTGCAATCAGACTCCCCCCTGCTGGAGGGGGCCTGAGGAAGTCTGCTGACCAGTCTTCTGTTCAGAGCAGAATAAACAACAAGCTCAGAGCAGTTTGCTTAAGGCTTTTGTCCAGCTGGGTAATGAAAACGTGCAGGGATGAAGATTCCACTGCCTCTCAGGGCAACCTGTTCAAAGGTTAATTGCCCTCATAGTGATTAATTTTCTACTTAAAGGCAGAACTACGCTTGTTTCAGTTTATAACCACTGTCTCTTGTTTGTTCCCTGAGCACTTAAGTAAGGAGTCTGTTTGTCTGCTGGGTAGCTGCTTCTTGGATTCTGGAAGGCCGTAAGGTTCTCTCAATGCCTTTGGTGTTTTCTCATTAAATGAGACCAGTTATCTCAGCCTCTTCTCTTATGTTCCAACCCCTGATGATCAGAATGTCCCTGTATTACTGCCTTCACAAATACTGTGCAATACAGTTTTTCTGCACACTAGTACAGAAAAGGTGTGCAAACTACATGTTTTTTTAGAAGAACTTGATGTATTTTAAATAACCAAGTAAAAAGGTTCTTAAACCTTTTTAAGGACTGGACCAGGGATGGTCCATTTGTTGGTATGCTCATGCTGAGAGTAGCCAGGAGCAGATGCTTTGAAAGTACATTTAGAAAAAAATAAAAGCATACTAAGTGCTTTTTGTATAAATCTTTGTACAGTTCCCAGCTAGTGATACCTGATACACGTGGTTCTGCACTGAAAGTATTCAGTATGTTTTTTATTAAAGCAATTTCTCTTTGAATATGCTAGAAGTGAGTGATTTCAGTATGTAACAGGTTGCTAAAATTGAAAACTCAAGCACAAATTACTTCTGCTTTGTTTAGCCTCGGGTCTAAGGAATTGAAACAGTTTTACATCCTCCTGGTAGGTGGCAAACAAAATGTGTTCTGAAATGTTGCAAAATGGAGTTAGCATAATTACAAAACCCAGTAACTAAATTCATGCTACTAAATTGCATATGTAAATTTGGGTCTTCCTGTCTTGAAAATAGAGACAGTTTATAATCTGTATTGATCATTCAGGCACTGGGACAGGCTCCCCAGGGCAGTGGTCATGGCACCGAGCCTGTCAGAATCCAAGCAGCATTTGGACAATGCTCTAAGGCACACGGTCTGTTTTTTGGGTGGTCCTGTGTGGAGCCAGGAGTTGGATTCGATGATCCTTGAGTCCTCCTTCCTACTTGGGATATTCAGTGATCTTGTGATTCATTGGTGGTGCTGGTGTAACAGCACAACACAGTCAGGAGTTGAGGTCCTAATTAAGCTGTTTAGTTTAGCTCTTTGTTTGGTACCAGTTCTGTTGAAACCATACTTTTCTTCTTTGTAAAACAACCAAACTGTCCACCTGCTCTAGACTTGAACACACATCTTCATCTTCAAACTATCTGTCACCACCACTCCTAGAAAAGAAGCTTGGAACTCCTCAGGTCATTGCTTGACATTTGAAAGTCTGAAAAAGCTGAGCTCACTCTGATCATGTGCATACGGGTGGCTTCTTAGAGATCAAAGACCTAAACTCACTGCTGCCCACAAGGAAAAGAATTTGTGTTGATATTGACTCTGCTGGACGTTGGAGTCAAATACAGCAGAGAACTGATCTGAGCTCCTGCCTTACTGGGTTGTAGTAGTCACGTAACTCCAAGCCCCAGGAAAGCAGATGTTAGAAGACTTACACTTGCAGAATTCCATGTTTAAGTTAGACAAAGACAGTTTCACAGACTTCTGTTAAACATCTGAAATAGAAAAGGAGATGTGGGAGTATTTGCTTTTGAAGGGAAACTGTCAAAATGTAAACAAATCAGAAAGAGCTTCAGTTACAGCCATGAAATCCATTATGGGTTTTGATTTCCTTAACCTTTTCTGTTAAGGTCTTCTACCTGTAGTGTTGCCTAAACACAAAGCAGTTGGTACTTAGAGAGGTCTGGCTTTCTGATGAAGTAGATTTGAATGTAAAACAAGCTAATGCTGGAAATAATGAAAATGTAAACAAGGCATTGAGGTAGAATATTCATTTGAAATGATTCCTCCACATCCCTCCAAGGAGATCCTGTTGAAGCAAGCTTAGAGAATTTAATTTGAAAGTTGTTTACAATAGACCAATGTTTAACTTGTTTATTTCTTTCAGTGAAAAGCACAGGTGTATTTAAAAAAGTCAACAACAAAGCCATGTACTGGCACTTTTCCAAGTAATGACTGCAATTATTTGCATTATGAAAATCACAGGTTAAATGGCACGGAGTTGGGTGTGCTTCCGATTCAGAGGTTACTCTGCTGAGAGTCCAAAGTGCTGTATTTTGGAGACAAAAACTTATCTTTACTGTACACGGTTCTCCCTTTTACAGAGGTTTTTCTAGTACAGCTCCTTACAGCAGTGCTACCAGCTGGTGTTACTTGCTTTCTGGTAGCAGCCATCTCTTCACTCCACGTGGGGAGAAAGAGCACTTCTGGTACCAGATGGTACTGTCATGGACGTGCTGGGACTGTATCTCTAGCTATAGCTGGTGGTGGGCGGATGTTACAAAAACAAAGGACAGACTAAATAAACACTTGAATGTTTGAAAGCAGACTTCTTATTGCTTACTTTTTTTAATCCTTGGAATTTACCGCACTTGTAAAAATCTCAGATGTGTGTTTTTGAATGGCTGTACCGTGAAACTAAAATCTACATAGTCCTCTACTTCTGTTGTCACAGCAGTACTGAATAATACTTTGTTTTCAGTATCAGTGGTAGGTCTCTTTAAAATGTATTTTCTCGTTGCTGCATGATGCATAGAGGGTTCGAAATTTAATCTTTATCTTGAAAGGTGTAAGCTTGGAATTATTGCTGCTTTTTTTAACCACAAATACTGGGAGGAAGGTGGGAGGAAATTACTCCAGGTATTTTAAAATTTACAGAAGTGTATTTTCAACTAGTGTGGTTTAGACATACCACTATAAGAACATCTATTTAAAAAAGTAAAAATTACTAAAAATGCTATTTGATTTTGTTTTCAGATTCCAGTAACCTGATGCTAAGAATTTATAGAGCTGAGTCATATGCTGGCCTCCAAGAGTATAAAACAGCCATAGAAGATCTAAATTTTGTTATTTCTAAAATGCCAAGTTGGCCAGAGGTATGTTGATATAAACTCTGTATCTTTCAAAGTCTGTGTTTATCTATAAAATCAATGTGTTCTGCATTATACTTGCATCAAATTCTGAACTGAGATCAGATGCCTGAAACAATTTATTTCCTTGTCTTACCTCACTGGATGTGCAAACTGCTAAAAGGTATCTTTAAGAAGTTATTTATATAAGACTGGCTATGGGTGAGCACTGCAGGTTAGAGTAGGCTGAAGAATCCAGTCAGAACTGTTAATTTAGCCTTCATCAAAACCTTTGGATATTTTTACTTCCTCTCGCAATATGAGATAGTGATTCTGGATGAAGGGTTAAATGGAGCAGAACTGACTTCTTGGCATGTATTGTGAAGAACTTCTGTGCTGTTTACAGTTACTTGTTAGAACAACACTTCTATGTGTTCTCTTAAGAATTTTTTTTCTATTTTTTAAATGAACTTAACTTTAGCTGAATGTTATATGACTGGGTGGCTGGCTGAAATTGTGCAGTCAGATTTAATTGCTTAAAAGCAGAACTAATGCCTGTACATTTGGTTCATTGAGGTAATTGGCATTTGAAATTTCTTACACTATGTGAAGGCTGGTCCTATTAAAACTCCCCTGAAGTGTTTATACTTGCACCATTGTCCAAATTGAAAGCATTTTAAGCGTTATCTGTTACTTGAACATCATGTGAGTGAGATGAGCAAGCATTGTTGCCAGTCAGGACTAGGATCTTTGGCTCTGTTAAATCTATTTTTTTTTTTTTTTTGAGCCTCATTGGTAAAGCATTTTGCTATGTGAACAGGGCAGTAGTTTTCTTTCCCAAATGATGCCAAAGAATCAAAAGTGTGAGCAATAAATCCTTTTGCAATAATATTTGCAATAGTAAAAATAAATAAATAAGCATTTGAGGCCTTTTTTACTGGCTCCAGTACTTGGACTTGGAATAGCTTGTAGTGATGTAACCTTTAATGGCTGCTTTTTTTTTTTTGAGAAGACTAATTTGCTCTTTTAGCTGGGAAAGTTTTTTTTTGTTTTGTTTTGTTGGTTTTTTTTTTTTTTTTTTTTGGGAAAAGCCTGGAGAAACTCAATGGAAACTGAGCTTTGCAAACACTGCAGGCAGCTGAGGAGTCAGTGGCTTTCAGAACTGTTACAGCTTATTGCAGTAATGTTACTGCAACACCATCTGAACTCTGAGCACAGCACGAGCAGGAAGATCTTGCTGCACCTGGGAGGACTGATAACTGCTTCTGTCTTGATCTCTCCTGCAATCAGCAATGTCATGGCTGCTGCGAATTCAGACAGCACTTTTGTCTTTGTTTCTCAGCGTTGCCGGTAGTTCTTTCTAAATGTATGGAAAGAAACTTTGCTTAACTGAGCTTGTTTTGATAGATATTCCAACAATTCTTATCTCGGTAGGAATATGAATTTATCTGTAAGAGGAGGATTAGCATAGTTTGTCTTCAGGATCTATTTTAATGAATCTGCCCAAATCCATCAAGAAAGATGCACGCCCCATCTGACAGCCTTGTTTAACAGACTACTCCTTAGTACTGGCAATCAATCCACAGAAAATGCATTCAGTGTATGTGGTGGTGGTGGTGTTTTTTTCCAGTTCAATCTTCTGGTCCTTTATTTAAAATCTAGCATATAAACTATACATGTATTTTGCTGTTTTACTGAACTTCTGTTTATATTACTGCAAATACGGGTTCTTTAAATTGAGATGTGTTGTATAAGGGACTAATAAATAGTCTTTTTTTCCTTCTCCCACCCCAGTTAAAAAAAAAAAGTTATTTTTCCTGGCTACTGTCTAGTATTCAAGAATAAATTAGAGGAAACAATTCCAAAAGTGTGTTGTTTTCAGTCAAGAATATATATTAAAATGCATGTACGGGATGCATGGTTGTGTGGATTGTTTTGTTTATAGTTAGTCTTCCCCTGCAGGCTGGAACCATGAGACTTTTCATGAAACTGAGGGCAAAAAGGGTATCCTGTGAAAACTGTTTTACCATGATGTGTCCCTCTTCTCACCCTCACAAAAAGGGTGAAATTAAGGCATTGTGTGATTTCAGCACTAGTCCGGATTTTAACCTTTTGTGTAAACCAAAACAAATTAACTGGAAAGAGACCCAACACCAACCTACCTCATGGTTATTTTCAGCATAGGGAGTTAGGTGAAACAAGGCATATAGATCATACATGCTATGCACAGCTCAAGTTTGCTGAAGAGGTGCATTCTTTTATCACGGAGGGCTCTAATTCTAACTCGGTTGTAATGCCTGTGAGATGAATACTACAGTTCTATGTACTCACTAGAGGTGTCTTCATATTATCTGTTTCTCAGGTCTACTTCCGGAAAGGAAAAGTGCTGCATGACTCTGGCTTTGTAGGTGATGCCTTACAACTGTTTCTACAGTGCTTAGCCCTTGATGAGGACTTTCTTCCAGCCAAGCTTGAAGTAGAAAGGGTAACTTGATCTATCAAATTGGATTACTACCTCTGTCTTGATTGCTTTATCAAGTTCCTATTATGGTAGACATTAACCACCTAAAAATCTTTAATGCATACAGAGATGATTCAAGTGACAGACACTTTGATTGCTTCCTGTCAAGATGTATCACGCTGTCTCAAAGACAGTGCTAATCTACAGGTCTTAAGAACACATGCTTCGAAGTATTTATGCTTCTGAAGTAGCTACTAAATGAAAACCTAGATGACTGGAAAGCCAACAGCAACATGAATATTGTAAATTGAACTCTTTCACATTCCTATCACAACAATTTTTCTTCAATAATAATAATAAAAACATTGAAAAAGCTGTGATGCTGAATTGATAATGGCTAACTGAAGAAATCACACACTTGTAGTGAAAAAAAATCTAGGTAAATTTTCAATTATACATGTAAATTATCAATTAATCATCATACAGCTTTTTCAGTGTAATGTCTGTTTGAAGAGGTTATTTGCTTATAGTGGAAGTGATTTCTAGATAAATTCTGCTTAGTTATACAGGTGTGTAGGTTTCTCCTTGTTCTCAACTGTTGTTTCTCAGATACTGCTTAAATAAAGCCCTGTTATGGGGATAACTTCATATAGATTGAATTCTTGGTTCTGGTATCTTGGTTTATAATGAAGCTATACCCAGTTTCTTTTACAGTATTATGAACACTTGGCTGTTTGTTTTCTAGACACTGTGTGATGTGCTGTCACCTGAGAAGTTAGGAGAGAGCCTGAAGGAGTCTGCTTGGAATTCACCACATATTCGAAATAAACCTTTTATACTTGGTTCTGAGGTGGCAGAGTCTCAATGCAATTTGCAACTTTGTCCTGAGCAGGTAACAAAAACTATAAGATGGTTTTTATTCTTTGGCTAATGGGCAAATATCTGACATTCTCATACCCTGTTTGGCATACTTATCCTCCAGTCTAAATGCTGCATTTCTGGAACTGGCTAAATTTGAAGAATTGTGATTTGGGACTAATGTGTTTTCATTTCAAATGTAAGACATCTCATTCTGGTGAACTACCAATTAGAAAGTACTGAGGTTTGATATTAGTAACATAAAGAATTAATAAATATAAAAATACAATTGTTCTCTTTGAAGCAAATCAAGACTTCTAAGTTGTTCATGCTAAGCCAACTTGAGTACTGTCTTGGCTTACCAAATTCCTGTAGCTAACTGATGAACTAACTGTGGGAACCTTTGCGTGTTCACATCTTATATACCTCGATTTGTTATGCTTTAAGTACAGTTCATTTGTCTTTTGTAGAGTTTAGGAGGATCAGAAGTACTGGAGCCTGTCAGTGGAAGCCTAAATCGGGCACAATCTGCCCATGCTCTTAACTCACCGAAAGACCTCGCCAAGGAAGATGTCTTAAAGAGAGTATCTTCTGAACCCCTTCTTTCTGGTCAAGAAAAAGGTGCTTTGTTGAAAAGAAAGCTTTCCTTTTCAGAACAGGATACAGTTGTAAGTGAAGATGGAAGAAACAAGCACAAAAAGCAAGGAGGTAAAACAATCACTTAGTTTGAAAATTTTAAAGTATTTACTCTCCTGTGCCTTTCTTTGAAAGGAGTATTTTGTCTTGCTTTTTCCTAGAAAGTACAAAAAGGGATACGACACTGGCTTATGGAACAATTCCAGGGAATTTGATTGATGTATCAGATTTTGAGTGCTCTCTATGTATGAGGTAAGACTTATCTCTCTGGTTCATTATTTCTATTATAGGTGTTTGGCCAGATATCTTTTGCACATGCATAAAACTGAGATATATGTTGTAATGAGTTCCAGTGCTAGTGAAGAGTAATTTTCAGACTTCCTGTATCCCAGCAGTTAAATACAATGCTACAGCAAGTAACATTTAAATAAGTATGCTACGTTATCAGTTTAATCAGATTGTCTTTTAAATTAGATTTGGTGGTGTTAACTGGTAACTCAAACAGGACAGGATCTTTTGTAGTTAAATATTAGGGTATGTTTTTTTTTAGTTTTTCTGTTTTTTAGACAAAATGAGTTTTTGCTGTGGGAAAGCTAATGCTTAGGAATATTGCCTGTGCATCTCAGATTTGTCTAGGAAATGACTGCAGAATGTAGATTACTAGTTGTAGTTGATGTATTTGAGAGTTCTTACTGAGTTGTCCTGGTTTTCAGAATAAGAATCTTAAAGCATGTTGTATATGCTAAGTTGTCCATCGTTATGTCAATAGAATGTAAACTGCTTTTAAAGCAACCTAGCTCTTTAAACTACCACTTAATTTGTGTATTCTGAACCTCTGTAGTAAGATCAAAATCTTAGTGTATATTTGCTCAGATCGATCAGAAAGTACAAAGATACTGGGGGTGTGGTGGTAGATGTAAACAAACTGCATTATAGGGGAAAAAGTGTAAGAAGCCATAGGATTATTTTTTTCTACTGTAGGATTAGTTTTAAAAATTAGGAGTTGATCACTGACTCTCTTTTTTTTAGCAAGACAAAAACTTGGCATGGTATCTAACTTTCAATAACTTTGTTTCAGGCTGTTCTTTGAGCCAGTGACAACCCCTTGTGGGCACACTTTTTGCAAAGGCTGCTTGGAACGGTGCTTAGATCATGCTCCTCAGTGTCCACTCTGTAAGGAGAGTTTGAAAGAGGTACTGTTTCTCAGTAGAGCTCCTATAAACAAACACTGTCATTTTAAAGGCTGCTTAACTACAACAACTTGGATTCCTTTGGGTTATGGTTTGCTGCTGGAAAGAAAAAATCTTGATGCAAACATCAATACAAAACAAGTTGACTATGTTTGTCTCGGGACATAAAAGGTTTTTATGTTTCTGTGATTGCCTACTTTATTGGTATAATTTCATCCTGAGTGTTTGTAAACTTGGGTAACTATTCAGTAAGGCTTGCCTGTGATTTCTGTATACTTTCCTTATTTATATGGCTGTATAATCTGGGAAGTCAATTTTGTATGCATTAAGTATAGAAGCATAAACTGAATCAGATACTGGAGTTGTCAGGCAGAACTAAAAGAGAATTTTCAAATATTAATGTTAGATGCTAAGAAGTAAGAACTTGAGCTCTAAAATCTCCTTTGAGACATCTCTTGTGTCTTGGTATTAAATAACAGCTGAGTTTTCAAAAGTCTTCTGCTAATACATATGATTATTTCTTTCCTTACAGTACCTGGCAAGCAGAAGATATTGCATCACAGAACTGCTGGAGGAATTAATAATGAAATATTTGTCTGATGAATTATATGAGAGAAAAAGAATTCATGCTGAAGAAACTGCTGAACACTCAAAGTAAGCTTGCTGTCTGTCTAGAAAACTTGAGAGATTAGTATTGAAATCCTTTTTAGAGATGTCTTACCATATTTGTGGTTATTAATAATGGCATGTTACAGACATGTGGAGGAATATAAAGTCATCTTAAATAAATATTTCAACACAAGCATTTTTCAATACCGTGGAAATAAATTCACACTTTGATAGTAGCAATGTATAAATTCTCTTTTAGTAGTAACTTGAGGCTCTTAAGTCCTCTACAAAATACATTTGCCTTTCTTTTTGAGTGCACTCTTGTGGAACTTCAGTTTTAGCTTTGCTGCTGTTAATGGAACTGTCCTCTTGAGTTGGCTGCAGAGTCTCAGATACTAGAATTTCTTTCAAAGCCGTTCATAATAGAGATTAATAGTATAAAGAAAGGTATGATGAAAAATATTTTCTTGCTGTTCATCTGTAGTACAGTTCTTTAGATATATAGCGAATCATGTATTGTAGATGTGTTGGAAAACCAAAACTGGTTCATGCAAATTACAGAATTATATTTTTATAGTCTGAAAGGTCGTAAAATGGAAAACCTGTTATTGCTACCTTATTTGTGTCAACTGTGTATACTTCACAAAATAGCTTGAAGAAAATGATTTTTTTCAGCCTTACTGAGACACTGCAAAGGTAAAAATCATATGCTAGGTTGTGTCATTGAACATAGTCTAAATGGTGACCTAGTTACTATGTAGATACTGCTGCATCTTTTTAGCGTCAGGAAAATAGCGCATCTAAGGGCATAATGCCTCTCTGTCATGGTTTATAGGGCTCAAACTAAACCAAAAATGGAAAGAAACGAACAAAAAAAAAAAACACCCTGTTCTCAAAGACAAGCCCTATATTTACTGACTTAAGTAACTTAGCTCATTAACTAGACTACTGTGAGGCTTGCTGTCCATTATGTATTGCAATCAATATATAAATGTTCACTCACTGTTCTTACTGTTTATGAAAATTGTTATTATGTGGTTATTACTAACGTTTATAATAAGTGCTTTATGACCTCAAATACCTACTGTGGAAAAAAAAGTGTTGCCATGGAATAGTTCAATGATTAGATTTGAAGTCATGTATTTCTTTTGTCTTTCTTTTGAAGCTTGACCAAGAATGTTCCGATGTTTGTTTGCACTATGGCATATCCTACTGTGCCTTGCCCTCTACATGTATTTGAGCCAAGATATCGACTAATGATTCGCAGAAGTATGGAAACTGGGACAAAACAGTTTGGGATGTGTATAAGTGATTCTCAAAATGGGTAGGTCTAAGTTCTAATATCTTCTGTCTTCCCTTTCTCATTCTAATATCAAGCTTCTCTGTCCTGTTTTTTTCTAGTCATGTTCTCATAGAATTGTGTAATTACCTTACTGACAAAGGTCTGTTTTCTAGTTTTGCAGATTATGGATGCATGCTGCAAATTAGGAATGTTCATTTTCTACCTGATGGGCGGTCTGTTGTCGATACTGTTGGTGGAAAGAGATTTCGAGTTTTACGGAGAGGGATGAAAGATGGTTATTGCACTGCAGACATTGAGTATTTGGAAGATGTTAAGGTATCAAGAATGCTGTCCAAATATTTCTACTACTGGCTAGTATCTTAATTTTAGTTCATTTGTTTTGAGGGCTCTGTCAATGTTTTAGGTCCATAGATTGCCTGGAGGATACAGCGCCAGCATGCAGGAGAAACGGAAGCTAGCTTAGTCTTTCATTATTATAAAATAACAAATACTGTGCTTTCTATTAAAACAACAGTTCATGATGCCGTAACTCCTCTTAAATATCACAGGATTTCTTTATTATTCAGCCATTAGGAATCAGGGCTTAGGAGAATGCAAGAAATGTAACTAATTACTTAAACAGAATCAAATAAGTTTGTTCATGCTAGCTTAACAACTGTAGTGATTCTTTATCTGTAATGATGTTAATGTTCTTCCACTAGGTTGTTGATGAAAAAGAACTAAAGAAACTGAGAGAACTTCATAATTTTGTTTACAATCAGGCCTGTAATTGGTTCCAAAACCTAAGAAACAAATTCCGCACTCAAATTCTTCAGCACTTTGGGCCAATGCCTGACAGGGAGGAAAATATACAGGTGAGACATCATTTAGTATCAATTAAGTGTTTATTATGGCAGGGGGTGGGGGAACAACAAATTATCAACTGCTAAATAGGAAAAGGAAAATTTTCTCAATTTGAAAGAAAGCTGGGCTACATCTTGTTTCTCTTACGAAGAGCAACAAAAAGCAATTCTGTCACTAAAACTTTTTCCTCAAGAAAGGATGATATGCTGCTCTGTAGATTAAACTACTAAACTGAAAACACTAAGTTACAGTAACATTTTACACTGTTGGTTTGTGTAAAGCGGTTAGAATTCAAATGGAAAAAAATGATAAATCTTTCGGTATTTCCTTTCCTGTGATGTGTGTAGGCAGTAATCTGTGATAAAAAGGTAATCACAAATAATACTTTCTTCCTTTCTGAGCTAGTGCTGTACACTGCTGCAGCTCTGAGGATTTGACAAATGTTTACTTTAAGTCTAAGAAAGTAGCTGCAGCCATCTGCTTTGTTATTGTAAGCAATTGATGAAGGGCAGAGAGATCCTGAAAGAGTGGAGACTGGAGAAAGCCATCACTTATCTGCTACGTATTTTTGAGACCATACTAACTTATCTGGGAGGACTGTAGATGCTTTGGAGGCCAGGATATTAATTCAGAAGTGATTTTAGAACACTTTTTTTTAAAAAAAAAAAAAAGTTTAAAACAACATCTTACGAAAGAAGACTTAAGTGCACTCAGTGCACTAGGGTAACTGGGCAGCAAGACTTGAGGGTATGTACTTGAGACTTAAGTGTGACATGGCCTCCGTTGAGGAGTGTTGTGTCTTGGGCATGACAGCTCAGGTTTGATGTAGGAAATTGAATAAAGTACAGGGAAAAGCTGCAAAATGTTTTATAAACTTAAAAGAATTATATATAATATATATAAATATATAAATATAAATTATATAATATATATAAATTATATAATATATAAATATAAATATATATATAAACTTAAATGAAGTTGTCCTGCGCTGTCTAGGAGGTAATAAGATGAGAGTGGAATGGGGCAGTGATAGAAGAGTCCTTTAAATACAGTAAAGATGAGTACAGTGAATGTGCTAGGCATCAAGAATACTCAAGCTTCAAGAATAGCATGGCAGGTAATGGATTTAGTGTGAGCTTCCTTTGTCTGTCTTAGAAATAATCCATTGCTTTATGAACCATAAGTGTACTTTGACTTCCAAGTTGAGGGTAGATCAGAAGAGATCCATTCAGAACCCTCTTGATCTTATGAATTAGTAATTCTCTAGTTGGTAGCAAACTTTAAACAAGACTTTGTCAGTTTTATTCTGTCTTTGTCATGTTAGTCAACTATACTACATTGTTCCTAAGTAACTAACTTATACTTTTTTTTTTTTTTTAGGCAATGCCCAATGGCCCTGCTTGGTGTTGGTGGCTTCTAGCGGTTCTCCCAGTAGACCCCAGATATCAGCTGTCAGTTCTCTCTATGATGTCTTTAAAAGACCGTCTGATAAAAATCCAGCATATACTCACCTATTTTTCTAGAGACCAGTCCAAGTGACTAACCGCCTGGGTCTTCCTGAAAAGATACTCCGTTCTGGTTGTAGTTGCAGCTGGAATTTTTGCTGCCTTTGCACATCTAGCACTGGTTTGAGAAGTGTAATGGAACTGCTTTTTCTCTCCTTCCTGCCCTCCCAACTTCCTGAACCATGTGGTTCTTTGAATGCACACTTTCTTCAACTACGAGAGAAGACCACTGATGATTGCACAAAGTCAATCCAGCTAGATATGTTTTTCACGTTGTCTATGTTACAATTTGCACTATGTAGAGGAGAACATTTTTGAGACTTGATAATTTTAGCCACTGACTTTTTAAAGCTGTGGTAAGTGCAGGACTTAAGGCTGACAGTCCAAGTTTACAACATTGAAGAGGTATTAAAGGTTTTGCAAATAAGTTTGCCTCATACAACTGTTCTTTTGCTGTTTGCACAAAGATTTGAAATATAGTATTGAATGTCACTGTTGGATATTACTACTCTTGGTGATTTATCTTGACTACGAACATGGCACAGACTTCTAAGTTATCCTGTAAATGTATGCATCACAAAACAGGTGACATTATGAACTGTATGCTGAACTGAGAGCCAATTTTAAGGAACAAATGCAAAAAAAAAAAAAGGTACTTGTCTAAAAATACTTAAACTGTGAATATGGTTTACATACCTAGGCCTGTACATGTTAAAGAAGAACTGAAAACTAAATGCTAGTACCAGTTACATTTCTACTGGGCTTTTCAGGCTGGCTGTTCTTCCAGAGCACACACTTAGTTTATAGAGCTTACAAGAAGAAATCTTAGAGTGTGCGTGTGTGTGTATTGGGGATTGTGTGTCCAGGATTTAAAAGCTTAAAGTTTTATTTGAACTTTAGTTGGTGCAAATGTGAGTTCTATGCCTTATATCAACAGTAGAGCACACTGCAGTGGCAAAGTAAGCATCATGCTGCCAATAGGTACTTTTTGTAATTAAAGGTTTGCATATTTGTGAATATGTCTGATACTGGCTTTCTTGTATGTAAATGATTTGTAAAATATTTCTTAAATCTTGCTTTTGCTAATATATTTAATTTTCAATAAAAGCTAAAAGTTTGTAATATTTTAACTTTATCAGAAACTAAAAATCACTTTAATTTTCCATGTGCTTCTATTCTGGGAAGCTTCTACTGGGGCAGTTGTTTAACCTAGATCAAGGTTGTGGGCACTTTAAGTGGTATGTACATAATCTTTCTGCTCATAGTACCTCTCACAGACTGGTTATCAGTCAGACAAGTTTGTTGCTGGTATCCTGCTTTTGTAGCTACTGTGCTTAATTAAGGTGGCTTGAAATAGGAAATTTTCATTTCACAGAATTTGAAAGCTGAAATTACAGTTAAACAGATGGGTGTTTCACAAGCTTGTTAGTCAGGTCCTCTGTCTCTTCTGACACATAAGGCTTGAGATATTACAGGCAAACCAGAATCTACTGGATCAGTTTTAATGTGGGCTTCTATCCAGGATAAATTTTCTTTGTGTGAGTAAAGAACTGGATTAGTATTTGGGAATAGTACTTCATTTGTGTAATAGAAGAAAGAGGATCCTCCCTTTCTCTGCTTCAGTATGTTAACAACCTTAAAAACTTAATCTTTGTATTACTGTGATCTTAGGAATGCAGATGACAGGATTTTATTTTTTCTTGAGAGGAAAATAACCAATTTAATGGAAGACTTTTTCCCTTGCAGGGACCTTTAATTTTGAAATTGAGTATTCCCTAGTCTGCTGGAAGATGTAGCTTTTAGCTGTTCTTATACATTCCCGTGAGTTTTAAACAAAATAAAATGTGATGAGAACAGATGAGGAAGTGTCAGCTGGCACTGTTCTGTGCTTATGTAAGCTCCATGTCTGGAACTGGGGAAAAAGCTAAGAACTTCAAAGAACAGCAACAAAAAAAGCAAAGTTACTGTGATTGACTAATACATGATGCATTAAGACAAAGTATTACTGACTAATAGCTATTTCACAAACCTGATGATTGAAGATGCCATTGGGAATGAGATAAAATTGAGAATGAGGAGGATAAAGACTTTTAAGAAGCCTCATAAATTGGGATTTTCTCAGGTGCTAGGTTGTGGATCAGATTTTGTCACTTCATACAGTTGGGATGGGACGGAACATCAAGACAGAGTGAATGTTGGCACAGGTCTTTCAGTTTATATCTTGAAGACATACCATGCTATACTTGGTACATAATGTTTTGAATTAGGGAAGTCCTTTCGTATTCTTTTGGTATTTTTTTGTCACTCTGCACTGGAAGCATGGGAAAAAGGTTGTTTGTTAGTGAGTAGACATGAGGTATTTTTTAAAGGATCACTGTAGCCATACTGCTTGATCATCTTATTGAAATCTCTCTATAACCTCGTTATTTAGTGCCTTTCTACAATTAAAAAAAAAAAGCTGCAAAATGTTTAATGCTAGCATTTAAGTTATTCTAAGGCCTTTACCCAAAACAAAGCAAAAGTGTCCCATGAGATTTGAGCCTTGATTTTTATTGAAGATACACTTTTGTGGATGCTATTGACTGCAACTGCTTTCATGAATAAAGGTCTATAAAAAGTATTTCACCATGAATTTGAAAATATAATAGCATTAGTGATACTATGAGTGTAGTTCAAGTGTAGTCAGACATGCCTGTTAGGTTGTGGCAAGCCCACCAGGCAGGAGAAAGACAAGAAAAAGTAGGTGAAGCCTTTACACTTAGAGTTGAAGACTTACGTTTTGCAAAAGAATGGTTTGGTTAAAGGATGTTTTGTATTGGAAACAATTTTCAGAACAGGCTGAATATGAACCTGTAGCTAGGAAGCTAACCACATACTAGATGTTTAGATACAACAGAAATTGATGTAATGGGAAACAGAACCATGGAGCTGTACTGTATTAAGACAAATATAGTCACTGCCCGATCACAGTAGAACTTCTCTGGAACTTGGCATCTTGAAAAAAATCTTAATTAAATCTGTTTGAGCGTTGGTTCCATGTATTCAAGAGCTTTCTAATCTGTCAGCTAGGAAAACTTTTATCAGCATGGAGCTATATTGTGTGCTTGGCAAAGTGGGCTAGCTTTTTCTCTGACAACACTGTACATTTTATTTTGTTCCATTACCCCTTTTCCCCCTCTTTTTCCTCCTCTTCCTCCTTACATCAGACCATACTTCATTATGACTGCTTGTTGGGACTACCAGTCCATCTTCTTTCATACGTCGGTCAACATCTGTTCAGCAGATGCTTCAACCTACTGTCCTCTGCTGGGTGGAATTCTGGCATTTTATAGAAGCTTCGGGTTCCTGTAAGTGACAAATTAATCCTTCCCATGAAAAACTCAGTCCTTGAAAATACTCAGACTTCATATTCTCAAGTGTCTGTTGTGGTTTGGCAACATGTTTGCTGTTCTATTTTTCTATGAAGACATCATCCTACTTGTGATGACATCTGTCATCAGGAGAGAGGGGGGGAGATAAGATGTTATTGTTGGTTCTTCTACTGAGTTCCACACAAATGCAACTTAATTCCTTCTTCAAGAACTTCTGAATTTTACCTTCCACAGGGAATGAGAAATCTTTTATCTTCTTCAAGTTTTAAGATCTTTACAGTCAAGGCACACTCTTCCAGTTAAATCCTTCAGAGAATTCACACTATAACTGAACTGATATTTTGAAGTCATGATCAGCTGCAGCCTTGTGATGGTCTAACACCTATTGCAGTCATTTAAGGAAACAAATTGAAATAGCCCTAAAAGGGGATTTTCCCCTCCTATAGACTTTCTAAATGACCATGGCAGTTAAAGCACCCTTCTAAGGAAAAACTTAAGTTTTGTCCCTTTTTCCCAGTAGAGAAGGGATTAATTTATTTATAACTTGGGTGACTGTTCTAACTTGGAGGGCATCTCGTTTTGAGGGAGTGGGTAAGCTTTGTGATTCTGGCTGTAATACTGATTTTGTGTATCCTGATGGGACTTAGATGAGTAAGAGGCTTAGCTGTTGCGGCCTGTCAAGACCTAAGATGGTTCTGCACAAGGACAACAGCAGATGCTTAAGGGGTAGGGAAATGGAATTTCTGAAAATGAAGCTAGAGGCTTCAGGTCTCTCCAATCACGCAGCAAGCAGTTGCACAGTTCTGAAGATTTTGAGTTTCAAATGCACATACTTAGATCTGAAATTGAATAGGGATTGGGACTGCAACCCAATTGTAGAGGTACTTAAGCTCTGCAGGAACTTCAGGTGTGGAGTTTCTGCTGTTTGATTTAAAAAAATCAACCTTTTCATGCTTTCTCTAGTGTGCATAAAGGTGTGCTTCTTCTTTGGGTAGGAATTCTAAACAGCTGTTTGCTGATACCTTCTAAGGACTTCTGCAGTTAAGCAGGTAACTGCTAATTAGGACATGATCTAATCTAGGGTCCACAGTAGCTTAAAAATGTATTTTTATTACAGGTATTTCCCTCAATTTAAAAAATACAAATTGATGTCAGTAACCTTTCTACATTGTAATTTTGGGGAAGATAAGTGCACTTAAGAATTTTTTGGGATAGTTTTTTAATATTGGACAAAACCACAAGCAAGTGCTGGCTGAAGAAATATTCAGGTTACTGCCTCAGTACAATAAATGGAATGCTGAAAAATGAGGGAAGCACTTGCATTTCACAGCATGAACTTTGGGAAGAACTTGCTGTTAACACTTCTGCCTCTAAGATAACTCTTAACATGTTTTATGAAGAAAGCAACACAGTTTCCTGTAACAGGGAGCTATGTTGTCTACTACTTCACCTTGCAAAAGCCACCCTTGTGCAAATTTAGCACATAAACTTCAACAAGTGTTTCACCTAATTTCAGATCGTGAAGTTATACACCACAGCTGATGACTAATTTGTGTTTATCAAGTCTCTGTGAACAGCTTTGAATTCAATAGTTTATTTAATTATAAAAAGCATGAATGTTACATACATTGAATAATTGCATATTTCTCAGAATCAGTACCTATTTAGAAGAATGGTATGTGCAAAGATGAGACAATCATGCTTAGATTTCCCCCAGTAGTTCGGTGCTTTATCATTTGTTCCCACCTTCAGTTCAGTACAATTCCCATAGAAACAATGAGTGAGGGAATATAGATACATACAGCTAGAGTTACTGAAGTGTATGAGGATAGTCTGACAACACCACATAGGTCCTAGAGATTGGCCTAGTATTTAAAGGGCAAAGACTTGACTAGTCAAGGGTTACAGCAAGTAGGCAACAAGCCTAGTTACAATTCCATTCAAATCTATAGCTTGTGAACAACAGAACTGGTGTTAACTTCATCACAGCATTTGAGATGATAGTGATGGGATGTATATGTGCATACATACACACATGAGAAAATATAATGAATATTTGTGATTTTTAAATAAGGCAGATATTTCTTTCAGGCTCTTACATTTTTCCAGATTATTTTCTTATTAATACAGCATATGTTGCCATTTTATTGCTAAAGGAAAGCATACCATCATTGCAAGCAGAACAGTATCAGTACTAGTTTTAGTTAGTCCTGTTGAGTTAATAAAGTTCAGGCCATACATTATTACTATGGAAGAATATTACTGTTACAGAAACAGAAAACAAGGGGATTTCTATTTGAATCACCAAATCATTATCTTGACATGAACATCAGCTGTAGTTAACAGTCTACACTGAAAAGCAGAACAGCACTATTTTGGAGCAGCAGAAAGATAACTAAAATACTATTTTCCCCATCTTTTACTAAGTTATATTAAAAAACTTAAAACCAAAAAAAAATGCAGAAGAGAGGGATGAGGACACAGCAGGCTCCATCTACTGTTCTAAAAATTCTTTCTTCTGTCAGAAAAGATAAAGAATTTCTCAGCTCATCCAACTGAGAACCCTAATGAATGTACACGCCATTAGTTTTGTGTAGCTAGAAAAAGTTACTCGTTAGTTTGACTTACAAGGTGCACTCTCGAAGCTTTTTGTCAGCCTGCTTCAAGGAGATCCATGTGTTTAACATGCTTGATCGCAGTTTGGCCCACACTAAGTGGTTGTTTAACCCAAATATCTGGGCAGCAAACTGAGCAGCTCCTTCAG